GTTTATCAACACAGTTCGCTCGCCCTCGTACAATATGCGGATCTGTCGAGCGAGCTATCTGAGTCTGCATCCGAATCGGCACTGTCACCGAGCGACAGTGTTGTAATGTATTTATATTATGAGTGAAATTACTAGTTTATTACTGTAAATTTTATGTGTGAGTTTCGTAGTGACAGACTGTTGTTTTTTTGTGCGCAGATATCCAGACGGTAGACGGCGAAGCCGGCCTTGCTCTTTCTGACCGAGACGCAGGTGTCCTCTCCAGCTGATATTTCGTATCTCTCCTACCCGGGGTACAAATTGGAGCACTCCTTTGTGCCTCAGACTGGAATTTGCGTGTATGTCAGAGAGGACATCTGTTCTCGACGCCTCGGCAGTCTTGAAGGTTCGAACCTGTCCATCCTATGGCTACGCGTAGACAGCGACGACCATCCCCGCGTCTACGGGTGCCTCTATAGGTCCCATAGCGGTAATGCCGACACAGACCGACTCATCGACCACGTCCAAATGGCTGCAGACTCCATGCTACAACAGGTCCCATCCGCAGAGATCGTGATTCTTGGCGATTTTAACGCCCACCACGCCGAATGGCTTGGTTCTCGTTTAACCGATCATGCGGGTAGATCTGTCTATGACTTTGCTTTGGCATATGGTCTAACACAACTGGTTAATTTGCCTACGCGGATCCCAGATGTGGAAGACCATGTACCTTCCCTGTTGGACCTTATGCTGCCCTCTCATCCGGACGGATATTAGGTCTCCGTCGATGCCCCTCTGGGCTCTTCGAACCATTGTCTCCACTCACTCCCGCTCCAATCGCAATTGCGATCTGCAGCTTGCCGCCGTGTTTAACACTATAGGTCGGCCGACTGGGACGGGATGCGGTCTTTCTTTGCATCCTACCCTTGGGGGCGGGTTTGATTCGCGCCGGATGATCCCAACGTTATTGCTGATTCTGTCACTGATGTGGTACTTCAGGGAATGTAATTATTTATTCCATCATCTGTGGTGCCTATCGGAGGCAGAAATCAGCCATGGTTTGGTCACTCCTGCAAAATTGCATCACGCCATAAGCAGGAATGCTACCGAACCATGGCCGACGCATCAACGTCCCGGGATGTAAATACCAGCGCTCTTAAAAAGAAGTATAATTCCGCCTCCAGGTCCTTCAAAAGTGTCATTGCAAAGGCAAAGTCAGAGCACATAGGCAGAATTGGCGAGAAACTAGTTCGCCTCCCTTCGGGAACACGTGCATTCTGATCTCTCGCCAAAGCTATCCAAGGGAACTTCTGTCAGCCATCTCTGCCATCTCTGCACAGGGCGTACGACTCACTGGCCCATGACGCAAAAGAGAAAGCCAATCTGCTAGGCTCTATTTTTGCTTCCAACTCGACTCTAGATGACGGGGGGAACACACCGCCGACCATCGCGCGGTGTGAGTGCTCCATGCAAGAAGTGCTGTTTACACAGCGCTCGGTGCGTAAAGCACTCCTCTCCCTGGACGTCAACAAGTCGATTGGGCCTGATGGAGTGCCACCTATTGTGCTGAAGACGTGTGCTCCGGAGTTGGCACCGGTTTTAACGCGTCTTTTCCGGTACTCCTACTCCATATGCGTAGTCCCGAACTCATGGAAGACAGCTTTGGTGAACCCGATCCCTAAAAAAGGCGACTGCTCAGATCCGTCCAACTACAGGCCTACTGCTATCACTTCCTTGTTCTCCAAAGTAATGGAAACCATTATTAACAGCCAGCTCATGCAGTACCTTGAGGATCACCAGCTGATTAGTGACCGCCGGTACGGTTTCGTCGAGGTCGCTCAGCTGGTGATCTTTTAGGTTACCTAACTCATAGATGGACGGAGGCAGTGGAGTCCAAGAGACAGGCGTTGGGCGTTATTTTGGACATAGTGAAGGTCTTCGATCGGGTTTGGCACAAAGCGCTTCTTTCGAAGCTCCCTTCCTATGAGCTTCCCGAGAAATTGTGCAATTGGATCACCAGTTTTCTTGCAGATCGGAGCATCAAGGTCGTAGTAGACGGTGCATGCTCCGATTATAAGTCCATTAACGCTGGTGTTCCACAAGGCTGCGTGCTATCACCAACGCTGTTTCTTCGGCATATTAATGATATGTTGCAAACCAGTATCATTCATTGCTATGCGGATGACAGCGCTGGTGATGCTCTATAGACCGGCCGTGCCAATATTTCACGGGAGAACGTCACGGAGTACCGGAATAAACTTGTGTCTGAAGTCGAGACTTTGTTGAACAAAGTCTCAGACTGGGGTCTACTAAATCTAGTCCAGTTCAATCCGCAGAAGACAGAAGTTTGTGCGTTTACCGCTTAAAAGAGCCCCTTTGTTGTATCTCCTCGGTTTCAAGGCACTCCCCTTGTTGCCTTAGCCAATATCGGGATCCTTGGTGTCGACATATCGAGTGACGTGCAGTTTCGTGGTCACTTGGAAGAGAAGGCCAAATTAGCCTCTAAAAAGCTTGGCGTGCTTAGCAGAGCGGGACAGTATTTCATGCCGGCACACCGCTTGCAACTTTACAAGGCGCAGATTCGGCCTCACATGAAATACTGTTCCCATCTCTGGGCAGGGGCTCCCCAGTGCCAGCTCCTTCCACTTGACCGCATCCAGCGCAGAGCGGTTCGAATCGTCGACGACCGAGTTCTTTCCGAACGGCTTGACTCATTGGCACTGCGTAGAGATGTTGCATCTCTTTGCGTATTTTATCTCTTCTATCACGGGGAGTGCTCTGAGGAATTGTTCGGACTAATTCCAGCCGCCCAATTTCACCATCGCACATCGCGACAAAACTCGCGATACCATCCATACCATCTGGATGATCGGCGGTCCACCACTGTGCGATTTAGAAGAAGTTTTCTTCCTCGCATAACTTCCTTGTGGAATCGATTACCACCAGCGATTTTTCCGGACCGATACGACTTAGGGACCTTCAAGAAAAGAGCCTACTCCTTTTTAAAAGGCCGACATCGCATCTGCTATTCCCCTGGTTTTGCAGATGTTCATGGGCGGCGGCATTCACTTACCATCAGGTGAGCCGCATGCTCGTTTGCCCCCTCTCCTATAATAAAAAATAACCCCGCAAAAAATGATAGACAGTTTTGTATTGGAGAAATACGCTATGGCTACTCCCCTCCGGTCGGTTGGTGACCTGTATTGCTCTATGTTTTTTTTAGACCAACGATGTAATATTCTTAAACAAGATTTAAAAGGAACATAAATTAATACAGATAATCAACGCATAATACATATAATGTTTCACAACAAAAAATAAATAAAATAAAAGTTAACAAATGTGTTTCACACCTAGGAAACCAGGCCCCGCTCGTAACCTGTTCACTAGTATGACACATGTCGCTTTCCTCCTTTATTTCTCAGACATGCCGGTTTCCTTTCGGTATTCCCCTTTACCGCCAAACACATGGTATATCAACACTTCAAATTGTAACAATTTTATATGTGCCAGCGAAGATCAAACTTGGAATGCTCGCGTACTATGAAATTTATGACTTAGCCTGATTTCCTGTTGCGCCTTTATATAATCGGGGGGCACGGCAGTGTCCCCGCCAAGTCGAGCGCGAAGCAAACACTGCCGTACCATCCTTTACTGGAACCGTTTCGCCGCATTTTCAGGCCTCTATTTGAGAACCTCCGGATAAGACCAGAACGCAGAAATTTTCGTCATCCAGTAAGCTATAATCACATACTTTAAATCCAAAATTTCAAGTCTGTAGGTCATTTAGTTCCGAAGTTAAGCGAAAGCAAAGTTTCGCATTTATGACACTCACTCACTCATGATCATCAGAATAGAACTAGTACTTCCCATAAACTCAGAGAGCTGAAATTTGGTACAGAATTAGGGTTTAATGGCCACATAAAGGGAAAACTATAAAAACTAGGATAATCGAAGATCTGGAGTACCTGGTGACCCTGATTAGAAAACACAAGAGCCCAACCAAACTATTAGATGAGATCGACATACCGCCCTTGCAAAATATATTTAACTTGGTAGGCCGCTTTATTTGATGTCAAAAATCGAAGGTCTAAAGTATCTGATGAAAAACCTTCAGCTGGTCTCAGCTGTATTAGAGATATGGTAATGCCCCCTTCTACCATTAGTACATAAAAAAATCTACTGTCATTGCAAAAATCCAGCGTAGTGGGACACATCTTCTAATTTAATCTAGCCTATAGCGTCCCACTGCTGGGCGAATGCCTCCCCTTCTGCTTTTAATACGCATATAAATAAAATTAAAGGAAAACTCTGGATGACACTAGACTGGCTTTTATACTTATACTTACAAGTTTACAAGAAAAATAATCGAACGATTAACTTTATTCTATTCGAACATTAATCAAATTAAATAAACAAATTACACTAAAATACTCATTTCGCTCAAAATTTGGTCAAAATATAATGCATTGAACTAAGAGTGGCGGTGATACCTGCACACGTCGCTAGATGGCGCTGACTGTATTTTAATGGTCAAAATATAATGCATTGAACTAAGAGTGGCGGTGATACCTGCACACGTCGCTAGATGGCGCTGACTGTATTTTGAAACGCATCGACGTTTTGTTTTTGCGATAACCTTATAGTAAATAAGTACTTTTCTAGTATTATAGGTTAAGTCTATTTAGTTAGATATTACTTCGTTTCGTTTAAAAATATCATTAATTTAGTTGTATTTCAATACTAGGTAGAGGTAATATCTTTGGTAGAAAGTTCATTGATAATTCATTATATTGACACTTGTCTAATAATTAAGAGTTAACCCTTTGTTTATAGTTTATAGATGAGTAGACCGAGTAATATTTTCTTTGAGTTTTCTTTTTTGTATTAAGACAAAAGAAGATATAGGTTTTTATTGTTTTAGTCTAAATTAGTCTAAATATTATCGGTATTTCTGATTTGTTGTCCATATACTAAAGGTCGTTGAGTTTATTTGATTCGCAAGATAATATCGTAAAAAAATGTCGATAATATTAAAAGACGACGGTGAACTTAGTGGCTACCAAGTAGTTGGTATGCCCAAAGATGGGTCTTGTCTTTTCCATTCAATATCTTTCTTGGTGTATGGTAGAACTGACTCAACTTGCAGTATCAGATCTGCTATAGTTGCATACGTTGCTGACCATTGGGACGAAATGCAAGTGTACACGTGTGATGCTGATGGTGACGTATACACTAGCGCGCAATCCTACATGAGCGATATGATGAAACCCACTACTTACGGCTCAGCTTCTGAGCTTATGGCTGCTGGAAAAATCTATCCTTTCACTTTTGAAGTGTATGAGAACGGTATACTAAGAGGTTCCTTTGGCGATGCTGGCCAAAAAAAGTGTTTACGTTTTACCGGTAGTTACTTAAGCGGCCACTACGATGTACTCATTCCTATACGAGATGCCTCTCCATCTTCTTCCCCCTTTCATCCCATAACATTAAATTCTGTAACATCAGATACTGCTATATGTACATTATATGACTTAAACTCTACGCAAAGTGAATTGAACATGAAGCATAAGGGAAAAGGCGGTAGACCGACTAAAACAAAAAAAGGAAGACCTAAGGTATCCGAACTGTCACGATCTGAACAACTTCGAGAAGCCGCGGCTCGTTACCGACAAAAACACCCTATAAAACGTCGAGAAACCGTAGAACTTTATAATTCTTTACATCCAGGCGCCAACCGGGCATCTGTAGCACAGTACAGTGCTTCACACCCTGAAGTAAACCGGGCAGCTGTAGCACGCTACAGTGCTTCACATCCGGAAGTCAATCAGGCTGCAGTATCTCGCTACCGTGCTTCACATCCGGAAGTAAACAGACAAAACTTAGCGCGAAAGAGATCTACTGACAAACTAAAGTTTAAGGGAAACATAGAAACAATCACTAGAGTTCTTACAACTAAACTTAAAGATAGATTAGAATCAGAAAAAATAGTTAAGTGGACTCTCCATAATAGGCAAAGAACTTTAGAAGATTTGAACAAGACTGCAAATAAATTAAAAAAAAAATAGTAGCGGCATTAGAGAAGTTAAAAATATGTCCTGAAAGCACGGATATTAAAGACAAATTTGAAGCATTTCTTGGTATATCCGAACATCGCAGTAATCAGGAGCCATTTTATTCTGAACAAGCTTATAAGGTTTATGAAGATAAAGAAAAACCTATTGAGATTGATGATACTGGCAAAGCAAAAACCTTTACAAATATTAAGAAAATGTCCAAAAGTCTGACATGGTCTTGTTCGGATTCATTGTGCGTATTAAATGATGGAATCTTACTAAAATTGAAAAACATTTTCGAAGTATTGAGCCTCCAAACTACTCCGCAAATTTACTCGATGTCTGTAGAAACAGGAAAACTGCAAGAAAATGTCAACTTTATTAATAACGTTAAATCGCATTTCCCACATCTTCGGACTATTATCAGAGAGATTTATCAAATACACAGCGATTGTAAGTTATTGCTTGATATTGACAATTCTTTGGCAACTGGTAATGTGGATAAGCTTATGGAGCTAGGAAAGCAACCGACGGTAGGAAGTGCCGTTGTAGAGCGTACACCTGATAGTGAAATCGTGGAAGATGAAATAATAAAAAGTAATAAGGTTGCTTTTAAATTATTTTCCAAAAAAAGTGTAGACACACCGAAACTGGATTGTATGTCGTGCAATAAACTTTGTTACTCTAGGGATATTAGTTCCATAGAACGATTAAGAAAGCCCATATCAACAGATGTTTGGAAACAGCTCCTGAACTACTATAATTCTAGCCTAATAACTCACAGTCCGTACATATGCCACACATGCCTTGCTAAGATTCGTGCTAACCAAATGCCTGCTGTCTGTATCCTCAATGACATGCACGTAAGCACTGTTCCACCAGAAATAGCTCAGCTGAACGACTATGAAAACATTTTAATCCAACGCGCTAAAGCGTTTCAGGTGATTGTTACAATGAATCCTGTGGCTAATAAACGTCTACCCAATCGTCAGATGGTTAAAAAAGTAAAGGGCAGGACTTTTCATTTACCACTTCCGATGGAAGAAACCCTAAAAAAACTCCCAAAACCTGAAGACGCAATAATTGAAAACCCAGAACTTTATATTATAGTCCGAAGTACGCCAAACAAAGCAAATATTATATGGCAAGACATTGTTGACGTTAATAAAGTGTACAAAGCATTACAATACCTCAAAAATGTAAACGAACATTATGCTTATATCAAATTAACAGATTTACCTAACCAGCTCATAAACATACATGAAAATATTCAACATAATGTTACAAATACACCAGATAATACTGAAGAAGGCATTTTAGAAGATGGTACAGCAGCACTGTTGACCCAAATCACAAGAGAAAAGGAAACTGATTATGAGCATTACACCATATATCCTTTGAATGAACGGAGACAAAATGCACCAGCTTCAGAACTCTACCAAATGCTCAAAGTAAACACAGCACCGATTGATGCCCGAGATAAAGACCTCGACGTTAAATGTTTTCCACATTTATATGTAGAAGGAAAATACGGCCAATTTCATAATCGGCAGCAGAAAGTAACTTCTAGTGAATTTATTAAAGCCCGGCTTATGTCAAAACATCCTCAATTTAGACTCAACCAACAGTATCTATTTTTCTTATTGAATGATGCTAATATGCGCCAATTAAACTCCGGAATCTTTTATAAAATGAATTGTGCTAATCAGAGAGATAAAATTACGGTAGAACGGTATCTCCAAATGCTTAAAAATGATGAGCTGGAAGGTGATTTGACCGCAATATTTGGCCGACTGAGAAACACCGAACAGTTCTGGAAGAAACCAAGAAACGATGTAAATTGTATGACTCAAAATTACGGTCCAGCAACTTGGTTTCTTACCATGAGTCCCTCTGAGTGGATGTGGGAGGATTTGGGAGAGTACATCAGGCAAGTAAATGGCGTTAAAATGGCTAATAAAACAATCAGTGAATTGGTTGCTCTTGACCCCGTATCTACCTCACGTATTATAGATAACAAGTTTCATGCAATGTTAGACTTAATAACTAGTTCAGATGAGCCTTTAGGTAAGATTATTTATTACTTTTGGCATCGAGAGTACCAATCTAGGGGTGCTCAGCACTTCCATTTAATGTTATGGGTTAAGGATGCACCTATTCTACATAAGTCATCTATAGACGAGGTAGCGTCATTTATTTCTAAATACGTGACATGTGCCATTCCAAAAAAAGATATTTCTCCTACTTTACATCAACGGGTCACTTGGTATCAAATGCATAAACATAACAGTTATTGCATGAGGAGAAAGAAAACGAAAAAAGGATTCGTTTCAGTTTGCCGTTTTGGATTTCCTCGAACTGTGACGGATTCTCTTATCATAAGAGACATTTTTCAATCTATAGCGGCAAGAAAAACTCTCAGCTCTAATAATCGGCTCTACAATATTGTCCGGTCGAAGGAGTCAGATATGATTAATGACTACAATCCCGCTTTGCTGTTGGCGTGGAATGGAAATATTGACATTCAATATGTTGGAGAGAAAACAGCCATTTTGAACTATTATGTGACCAAGTATACTACTAAAAGTGAAAAGACCCATGCAACCGACATGTTTAACGATATTAACTCTACAAAAAGTCTTAGAAGCCGGTTATATAATATTGGTCTCAGAGTATTAGCGAATCGAGAATGCGGAGCTTTAGAAGCCAGCGATACATTATTGGGAACACCACTTTACGGCACGGACCCACAAACAACAATAAGATGGTTAGACGTAAACATTCATCGTAATCGCAGGGTTAAATCGAAATCTGAAATGACTGGACTGGACCCGAATTTCACTGACATATATTAAGATTCTTGGATAGACAACGTTTACCCTGCCAGACCTGACGAATTACAAGACATGAATCTATTTGACTTTTCGAAAGACTATGATTTAGTTAATACACGGCCTGTTTCAAATAAAGTAGAGTATTATGTTTTAGCAAATAAAAAATACTTAAAAAAACGAGATAGACCATACCTAATTAACCATTACCTGTATGATGTAGAGCAAACGCCAGAAAAATATTTCTTTTCCTTGTTGTTATTATTTAAACCTTGGAGAATACTAGATGACCTAAAAATGCAACATGAGACATACACATAAACATTTAATGCTGTAAAGGACGATTTACAAGAAGCGTTACGCTACGGAAATTTACGGACTGAATTACGAAATATTTTACAAACAGCTTCTGAAAAGGTAGAAGAAAAAGTAGCAGAACTAAACGAAGAAAGGGAAAACATAGTAGATGAAGGCCCCGACAATCCTTTAGTGTTTGAAGCTTTGGAAGCGGTAAATGCTATGGAAGATTTAAACAACTTTGATTTAGTTGAAGCGGATATTTCTGAAATGAATGAGCAAGCAATGATAGATAAACTGAATTCTGATCAAAAAAAAAGTATTTGATACAGTCACTAATAAAATTACGAACAAAAAAGAAATATTGCGACATTTTGTTAGTGGCACCGGTGGCACCGGCAAGAGCTATTTAATAAAAACCTTAAAAATATGGATTAAAAACAACCTGCATAAAAATGTTGCTATTACTGCCCCGACTGGAATTGCAGCATTTAACGTAAACGGATTAACTGTTCACAGATTACTACAACTGCCCGTAGAGCATAAGCAAACTCCTAAATACAAACCGCTTTCAGACGAAGTACTTCAAGTTTTAAGGACAGACTTAAAAACTGTCGAATTATTTATTATAGATGAAGTGTCTATGATATCTAATGTAACTTTAGCCTACATAAATCTTCGTTTATGCGAAGTGTTTGATACTTCTGATGTAGAAGATGGTTGGTTTGGAAAAAAACATATTTTAGTGCTTGGGGATCTTTTGCAACTTCCACCCGTTAGAGAAAAGTCGCCATTTGAAAAACTAACCCCTTCAGAAATTAATAAACTTATAGGCTCCTTAAGTATTCCAAACTTATGGGCTGAACTTTTTACTTACGACGAACTTACGTTGAATATGAGACAGCTGGATGATTCTACATTTGTAGAAATGTTAAAAAGAATCAGAGTAGGAGTGACAACTCAATCAGACAGAGATATACTGTCTAACCGATTGATACCTCTGCTCTCGCATTCCAATAAAGGAAGGTTAATGGAAATAGCACAATGTTTGAGGGACTTACCAGAAGATACTGTTTGTTTACTACCGACTAGAAATATGTGTATGCAGTTAAATGATGCAATGTTAAAAGCGATTCCGCACCCCGAGATGAAGTTAGTTGCTAAAGATTCCTTGGATTGTTCAAAATGCATGATAACGAAAGCTCGGGCGTGTTTACAAAAATATGAAGATGATGCGTCGATGACTGCTGGACTGGAAGAAACTATAATTATTAAAGAGGGAGCTAAAGTAATGCTTAGGAGAAATATTGATGTTAGTTTAGGTTTAGTGAATGGATCGATAGGCGTTGTACAAAAAGTGAGGTGGGACCCGGAAGACCGAACAAAGCCTAAACAATTGGTAGTCAAATTCGCTAATAATTTGATTCACGAATTATTGCCTATTAAGTCAAAATTTGAGATCATACCCCGGGCATACGTGTACAGAGAATAATTCCCAATCTGTGTGGCGTATGCCCTAACAATTCACAAGAGCCAAGGTCTAAGTCTAAAAAATGCCCTCATGGACATTGGCACCTCCATATTCACTGTACTGGAAATAATTTTTTATACTGTTTGTTTCAGGCTCGCCTATACAAAAGTATTATTGAAATACGCAACTTTATCAAGCCTACAATTGACTGGTTATTCAATCAACGTTTTCCAAGTGGGAATTTTCCATCGTCAATGGGTAGCGGTTCTGGCGGCAGATTGGTGCAAGGGTGTCATGTAGCACCTGGTTTTGTATCCTTGTGTACCCTTCAACGGCCAAGTTACACAACATTAACTATAATAATAAAGAAATCGCAGTAAGGAACCTTAGACTTGGCACGACTTTGCCTAGAT